AAAAATGTTAGAAATAAAAATGTTTTAAATAACCTAAAGTTGTTCTTGTAATAACAAGCTAAAAAAACAAATTGGTTAAAAAATGTTTCAAAACCAAAACTCAACACAGCTCTACTTGCCCTTCAATTCACACGTAGTCTCTATTATCACCCTTGACCATGAACTTGCAGTTTTGAATGTAGCATATACCTGAGTAAACTAAAATACCAAAATCAAGAGTTTAAAAAGGGAACCTCAGTAATTATTACTTTTACTACGTATTACTAACTCCCACGTGTATGATAACCAATAGGGGTCTATGTAATGCAAACTGTATCTCATTAACTAATTAATTAATGGTTTTACAGCCAATTTGCATCTTGACAGTGCCTGTTGTATGGGAAGACTAGAATTCAGTATGATAGTACCTTTGCTTCAATGTGCAGATGTGAACTTCTCCACACCGGTGTACATTATCTAGATGGAAACTGTTATTCCACAAGTCCATTTTGTAGGTCTATTTTATTTAAACAAGGTACATCCTCACATTTTACAATTAGTCATGAGCTCCACCCTTGTGAAGCCCAATGACCACTGAAGGGTGGGGCCCCTCATCTGTCCCCAACTAGCTCTTGCAGTCTACTCTTTCCCTTGCCACTAATCCCATAGCCCCCTCTATCTATGGGGGTCCCTCCCCATAAGTCTGGTTGAATCTCTTGAGTTCCTCTTCTTCTGCGTGCTTGCAAAGAAAAACTCACAGGCATTTGCCTTTATGATTCTTAGTCGTGATGGAAATGAAAACAAATGGAAATATTTAAGGAATCAGATATTATAGAAGAATATTACAAAAATCCCCAAATTTTTCAGGTCTCAAAATCATGGTCTTCAGTTCACAACTTCTTTGCCAAGGTAGTCCTTAGAATCCACAATAAATTTTTCATCTCCTCTTTAGTTCCTAAGAACATATTCCCTCCCCAAATCTTTTCTTTCCTTTTCTCTGCCTGTAGTCCTGTATATGCCAGCAAGGCGCATCCACAGGTGTGACCTAGTGTACACTGATGTGTTTATTGGTCTTAATGAGATAATTGGAATTTCTGTGACTGGACTAGGGAAGACAAAGATGAATCTCACGGATTTACCTATTTGGAAAATATTCACTGAGCACTGCTCTTTGTTTATCCAATGGTCATAGGAGGCAAAAGCAGGTAGAAGAAAATGTGTTATTCCCTCACAAGGTTCTTAGTTTACCCAAAAAAGATGCTAAATTACTGAGGAAGAATTTGGAATGGTACTTACACTAATTATAGTATTTATGTAATTATGTAAATATAACATCTTAAATACATATATAAGATAGTATATAAATTATAGTATTTATATATAATATATACATATATCAATAAGTATATATACATATAAGATAGTGTATCAGAGTATTATATAAATATAGTATCTTATATACATGTATATCTATTATATAGATATAATAGATGTATTATGGAGTGCAGATGTATTATATACATCTATTATTACATATATCTATTATATACATATATCTATTATATACATACAAATATAGCATCTATATATGTATTATATGTATATATATTTATATGTAATATATACATATATAGTGTCTTATATCTATATAAGTTATAGTATATATAGTATTTTATATGTATATAAGATACTATATTTATATAAATACTCTTCCAAATTTTTCCTCAGTTTACCCAAAGAAGAAGCTAAATTACTGAGGAAAAATTTGGAATAGTATTCATATAAATATAGTATCTTATATACTATCTTATATGTATATTTGGATGTATCTTATATATATAGTATCTTCTAAGTATATATGTATATAAGTATAAAATATATGTATATAAATATTTTATATAGTATATATACTTATATGTATATAAATAATATTTCAAATATATACACAAGATAGTATATAAGATACTATATTTATATAAATACTATTCCAAATTCTTGCTCAGTAATTTAGCTTCTTTTTTGGGTAAACTGAGAACTTTGTGAGGGAATAACACATTTTCTTCTACCTGCTTTTGCCTCCAATGCCCTCCCTGAAGGAGAAGGCATGACATAGGTAATTGATGAGTCTCGGAAAACACAGTTGCCTTACAGGGCAGATATGCTCACTTGCATGGATTTGATAAGTTCTTAGCCAATCACTAAACTGCTCCATTGCAAAGGGCTACATTTTTTTCAGAGCTGCTTCTGACTAAATGGATTGAGTTTACTTTAGGAAGCCCCCACATGTCTTAGCTAGCTCAGGTCGCTATAACAAAATACAATAGACAGGGTGGCTTCAACAACAGAAATTTATTTTTTCACTCTCCTGGAGGGTGGAATCCAAGATCAGAGTGCTAGCATAGTCAAGTTCTGGTGAGGTCCTCTTCCTGGCTTACAGATGGTCGTCTTCTTGCCGAGTCTTCATAAGGAAGGGGGCTAGGGGAATCTTTCTGGTCTCTCTTCTTATAAGGGAACTAATCACATTAGGAGAGCTCCACCCTCATGACTCCATCTGAACCTAATTATTTCCCAAAAGCTGCATCTCCAAATACAATTACTATGGGAGTGAAGGCTTCCACACAGGAACCCAATTCAGTCCATGGCACCTCATGACTGAAAGATCTGGAGCCAGGCATAGTGGCTCATGCCTGTAATCCCAGCACTTTGGGAGGCCAAGGTGGGAGGGACCACTTGAGCCCAGGAGTTCAAGACCAGCCTAGGCAACATAGTGAGCCCCATCTCTTAAAATAATTAAAAGGCTGGGTGTGGTGGCCCATGCCTGTAATCCTAGCACCTTGGGAGGCCGAGGTGGGCAGATCACGAGTTGAGATCGAGACCATCCTGGCCAACATGGTGAAACTCCGTCTGTACTAAAAATACAAAAATTAGCCAGGCATGGTGGTGGATGCCTGTAGTCCCAGCTACTCGGGAGGCTGAAGCAGGAGAGTTGCTTGAAGCCCGGAGGCAGAGGTTGCAGTGAGTTGAGATCAGGCCACTGCACTCCAGCCTGGCGACACAGTAAGACTCTGTCTAAAAAAAACCAAAACAAAACAAATTTTTAAAAATAAATAAAATTTATTTTATTAGTTCTCCATCTGGCTTTGATTAATAAGAAAGATCACCTAGATATTCTTTCCGACTCCATTGTTCGTCTCTAACCTGGCACCCATAGTAGGGAATAGGCCTTTATTGAGCCCTTTCAAATCCGAATCAATCTTCTCAGATGTTTGTAGAATTGTGGAAGGAGGTAAAAGGGATTCTATAGAGATACATTCTTCTAAATCAGTGTTTCCCAGTTGAGTTGCCATGAGTCACTAGCTTATTTATGATACCTAAGTAAGTGTCAGTGGGGAAAAAAAAAAAGTTCTATGGTTAAACAAGAACTTGGTTAAACAAGTTAAACAAGTTATGGAACACTTCGTTTTTAACCCCCTCTCAAAGTCGCCATGCATATTGGTGTGAGAGGTTAGGTTTCTCTAAAGAAACCTGATTAGCTCTGTGTAACCTGGGGTTTCTCACTCTTACTTGATCGCAGAACCGTTTTTAGCTGAACACCAATTAACCTCATAGGGAACTAAAGTGCCTCACGTTTGTGAATAGCTGTTCTAGACCATGCCCTTCATCCTCCAGTTTCCTGATGTGTTGTTTTATCTGAATGCTGCTTCTGTCTCTCTCGAATTTCAGTTTAAATCCCTCTTGATCAAGGGAGTAAGTTCACTCTTTACAAAACCCTTTCCGTCCAGTAGCCTCTAGCAGCAGCAAGCTTATTATTCAAGTATCTCAAAACACAGTCCACAGGACCATGACTTGTTTCTTTTAAATTTTCTACAAGGTTCACTTCACACACCTTCCTTTCACCTCTACGTTATCATCCTTTAGCGGGAGAATAAAAAGAAACGTCAATATCTTGTGTCTTGAGGCCCTCAGTCTTCTTTCCCAGACATCAAACTATTAATACTAGAGACAAATTTCAAGCTGCTTAAGGTTGCATCAATTTTACCCACACATCCTAAAAGAAGTGGGTAGTGATTGCTAGATTTGATGCATCTTGGCAGGCGCTCAGTCACTGCAGGAAGTCAGCTCTCCACCAGATCAGGCATATTCAATCTGTGTGTATCCACCCCCATACAGCTCAGCAGACTCCCCGACCACCCCTGGCATATTTTTATCCTGGATCTGTAGTTGCAAGACTCCTTACACCTGCTCCTATACTGCTCTCTAAGCATGAACTGCAGTACCTGTCTAAGAGGGTACAGCTTTTACCTTCTGTAGGCAGAGCCTCAAGACATGCCTATGCTCCAGCTTCAAAGCTTTGCCTTTCCCTTACTCTTCTGAACTTCATTCTTCTTCTGGCCAGCCTCATGACACTGGTTTTAATTCCTCTCCTGTCTCCTCTGAATTTCTTTTTCTTTTTTTCTGACGACCTTAATGAATTAAGTCTCCCATCCAAACAGGAACTGCTTCATCCTCACTAATAAGAGGTAATACAGAAAAAAAATCCCTAAAGCCCTTTCACTGCCTCCCCAGTAGGGCACCCAGTTTATATTTATAAAACCTGTAATTGACAAAAGCCTCCAGGCAGAAAGACAAACATAACACATTCCCTGAAGGTCATTGGAGCTCTTTCCTTATCTCCCAGGCAGAGAGATAAACAACAGACTTTTGTGGTACCTCCTGAAACTCCTGGACTCTTAACTGCTATGTCAAATTATGATTGCTCATCCTCTCTGCCAATAGGATTCTAGGAGAAAAGAGACTCAAATAATAGGCACACAGTTTTGAAACAGACTTACCAGTCTTCATCTACTCCCTACTTGCCAGCCCCAATTCATCTGATAATGCCGTATTTACCAAGCTAATTAAACCATTTAACAGTTTGAATACTATCATCACTCTTATGCATCAATGGAATGACAAGAGAGTCAGGGGTTCATGTGCTATAAAGTGCAATTATTGTCTTCACTTTGAATTGCTTTCTGACTTTTTGTTTATTTTATTCAGATACAGTGTGAGGAACATGAGACTCCATATGCTCTTTTATTTTCTGTCATGTCCTTTGAGAATAAGTTGGAATCATATAAATATTTACCATGGAATAAAATTTGAATACAATGACAAAAGTGTGTTGAAATTATAAGACAATCTGCATAACAAAGATGTCACTAATGTGGTCAATTGGTGTACCAGAACATATTTTTAAAATAGTTTATCACATAATTGTTAAGACAATTGCATAAATGTATTCAGTTTCTAATGTGAAAAAGGGATCAAAGATCATTTCAGCACAAGACAAAGTAATTTTTTTATTGTCTTGCTAGGTTCATCAGGCTAAAATTATACAATATTTTTTGTTGACAGAGCATCCCCCTAAAGGAAATTAACATTTGCTTTGCCAGTCATACTGGAGAAGTAGTTAATCCAGGTTAGAAAGTGCAGTGGGATTTTGGAATAGAGGAGAGAGAAACTTCTTCCTCTATGGGACGGAAAAGACTAGACATGTGGAGAGGGCAGGAGTAGCCCAGATGTTTGAGGCAAATGACTTCTGGACATGTAGAGACAACAAGGTATAAGTGGCACCACTGAGCATTCTGTTCTTGAAGGAACTCTCAACTGGAAGCAGCATTGGCAGCAGAAGCACAAAGAGGTAGCTGTCTTCTGAAACAGTCAATGTTGTACAACCCCTATTTCAAGGGGGCAGATCTGATTTCTTCTTCCAGAGAATCCAGGAGTGTAGGCAAGATGGACATCTTGGACATGAGAGAAGCAGCATATTCTCACTGGGGCTGGGGAGAAATCATCAGCATCAGTTCCAGTGGAAGCAAAAGAATAAACAGATAAGGGAGCAAAATTATAACAAGACAATTGGAACTAAGGGGTCAGAGAAACTTGCTCTTCTATGTAAGTATTGCAACACCACAGGAAAACTCAGAAATGACTGCAGAGAACAGTTTGATGTGAAATAATATTTAACAAGTAGGATGGCAGGGGCTAATTCTATAATAATACTTTAGAATGATGTCAGAAAGATAACAATATATAAGGTGACAGCCCTCATCCTCCTACAGAAATACCAATTTTATAACCATTCATAAAGGAAAATATCTTCAAAAGAGCTCTGGAATCCAGGTGAGAGATTACAGCACCTGGGTGGAGCCCCAAAATGAGAAAAGATATATTAAACAGAGTTGGAAGGATAGTTTCGCATTACCCACAGCACTCCTCTCACAAGCCCATGCTGTGCAGTACAGAGAGATATACCTTCAGGCCTGAAGTCTCCTATGGGGAAAAGAGAGGAAAAGGAGTGTCCAGCTTCCCCACAGATCCTGGCATAAAGACCTGCCCCTCAAGACTTGTTGTGGGTCTGCCCTCATAGATCCAGGCTCTAGGTTTTCCCATGGAGACCCAGGCTCTGGGATCATCACCCATCCACATACCCCAACAGCATGCCTACCTGGAATCTTTTGTCAAGCTAACTATTGCTTTCCTTGCTGAGTCCAGTCTGCAAAGACTAGTAAAAGTGACTACTTCAAATGTGCACATACCAACACAAGGCCACAGGATCACTAAGTTTCAGGGAGGTTTAGCATTTCCAAAAGAATAAATCTCCAGTAACCAGATCTATAAAAATGAAGATCTATGAACTGTCTGATAAATAATTTAATCTTCTTTTAAAACTCAGTGATCAAGAACAGGAAACCAAACATAGCATGTTTTCATAAATGGGAGCTGAACAGTGAGAACATGTGAACTTAGGGAGGGAAACATCACACACTGGGGCCTGTCAGGGGGTAGGGGGCTAGGGGAGAATAACATTAAGAGAAATACCTAATGTAGGTGATGGGTTGGCAGATGCAGAAAACCATCATGGCACATGTATACTTATGTAACAAAACTGCACACTCTGCACCTGTACCCCAGAACTTAATAATAAAAAAAAAACTCAGCTACAAGATAACACAAAAAGATAACTAAATGATATCAGAAAAATAATGATAAAATAAGTTCAATAAAAAGAAACCATAAAGAAGCAAGTATAAATTCTTGAGCTGAATAATACAATGACTGGAATAGAAAATTTCAACAGAGAGTACCAAAAGCAAACTCAATCAAGCAGAAGAAAACATCGGTAAGCCCAGGGACAGGCCATTTGAAATTATGCAGTCAGAGAAAATAAAAGAAAAAAACATTTTTTAAAAAAGTAAAGAGAACCTACAGGAGTTATAGGCCACCATCAATATATGCATTTTTGGAGTCCCAGAAGCGAAAGTAAAAGCTTATTTAAAGAAATAATGGCTGAAAACTTCCCAAATCTGGGGAGGAAATGGTCATACAAATTCATGAATCTTAAAGAACCCCAATAAGTTTAACCTAAAAAAAGTCTACATTGAGACACATTATAATTAAATTGTCAAAACTCAAAGACAAAGAGAAAACTGTGAAAGCAAAAGAGAAAACTGACTCATCATATACAAATAAACTGCTATAATACTTTCAAAGGATTTTTCAGCAGAAATCTTGCAGGCTAGGAAACAGTATGATGAGATATTTAAAGTGCTGAAAGAAAAAAAAAAAAAACTAGTAATATTATATCCAGCAAAACTGACTGTAGAAATGAAAAACAAAAACTTTCCCAGACAAACAAAAACTGAAGGAATTTGTCACAACTAGACCTGCCTTACAAAAAGTTCTAAAGGGAGTTCTTCGAGTGTAAACAAAACTGGCAAGCAAAACAAAGCATATAAAAATATAAATCTTACTGGTAAAGTTAAGCATATAGGCCAATACAGAGTAATGTAGTAGTATAAGGGTGACAAATAATCACGTTTATTCCTAGTATAAAAGGTAAGACAAAAGTATCGAGAATAAATACACCCCCAAAATTTGTTTGTACCAAGTAAAAACATTTAGAAAGTAAATTCTGTTATCAATAACATTAACTATTGGGAGGGTGTAGCATCATGTTTTGTGTGCAACTGAAGTTGATATCAGCTCAAAAGAGACTGTTAACAATAATAAAAAATTTTATGCAATTCTCATAGTAACCACTAAGAAAGAATATAGCAGAAACAAAAAATTATAAAGAGAAAAGAATCAAAGTATATCCCTACAAAAAAAAAGATCAGATCACAAAGGAAACAGCAAGAGGGGAACAAAAGAACTACAAAATAGAAAAAAAAAAAACAAAAAACAAAACAAAATGGCAATAATAGATCCTTACTTACCAAATAGTTACTCTAAATGTAAATAGGTTAAATTAATCAATCAAAAGACACATAGTGGCTAAATGGAAACAAAAAACGAAATCCAACTATACTCTGTCTATAAGAGACCCACTTTAGATTTAAGAACACATATAGGTTAACAGTGAAAGGATGAGAAAAGATATTCCATACAAATGGTAACTAAAACAGGGAATGGGTGGCTATACTTACATTAGACAAAATATACGTTAAGTAATAAACTGCCACAACAGAAAAAGAAAGTCATTACATAAGATAAAATTGTCAATTTAACATGTAACAATTAAAATTATATGCACCCAACATTGGAACACTTAAATTCTGGAACACTTAAAATTATAAGGAAAATAAGTATTATAAGGAAATTAAATGTTTCCACATTGGAACACTTAAATTTATAAGGAAAATATTAACAGAGCTGAAGGATAGCCAGAAATACAATAATACTAGAAAACTTCAATACCTCACTTGCAGTAATGAAAAGATCATCCAGATAGAAAGCCAACAGGAAACAGCAGACACTAAAGACACCACAAAAATACTTAGAACCAATAAATGAATTTAACAAAACTGCAAGGTGTAAAATCAATATTAAAAAATGAATTTTTATAAACAGAATAATCTGGAAAGAAATTTAAAATCTCATTTGCAATAGCATCAAAAACCTAAAATAATTAGGAATAAACTTAATTTAAAAACATAAAAGACTTGATACACACAAGAGAATAAAAAGACACCCTGTGTTCATGGATTGGAAGAATTAATACTGTTAAAATGTCCATACTACCCAAAGCAATCTACAGATTCAGTGCAATTCCTATCAAAATTATAATGTAATTTTATAGCAATAGAAAAACATCCTAAAATTCACTTGGAACCATAAAAGATCCTGAGCAGCTAAAAATAATCTTGAGAAATAACATACTTTCTGATTTCAAAGTATATTTCAAAGCTTTAGTAATAAAAATAGTATGATCCTGACTTAGAAACAAACAGATAGACCAATGGAACAGAATAGTGAACCTCAAATAAACTCATGTATTTACAGTCAACTGATATTTGACAGTTGTAAAATCCCAGCTACTTGAGAGGCTGAGGCACGAGAATCACTTGAACACAGAAAGTGGAGGTTGGGGTGAAATTTGCACCACTGCCCTCCACCCTGGGCAACAGAGTGAGACTCTGGGAAAAAAAAAAGAAAAGAGAGAGAGGCGAGGGGAAGAAGATGAAGAGGAGGGAGAAAGAAGAAAAGAAGAAAAGAAAAGAAAAAGAAAAAAGTGAAAAGAAAAGAAAGAAGGGAGAAAGGGAGGAAGGAGAAGAGAAGAGAGAAAGGATGTTTTCTTCAATAATATGTGGTGTTAGAAAAACTGGATATCCACAAACAAAAGGACAAAATTGAACTCTTACCTCATACCATACAAAAAAACCCTCAAAATTGATTAAGTATTTAAAAATAGGACCTGAAACTGTAAATCTTCTAGAAAAAAATAGGAAAAACGCTTCTGGATATTGGTCTTGGCAATAATTTTTTGGATGACACAAAAAGCTTGGGCAGTAAAAGCAAAAATAGACAAGTGGTATTACATTAAACTAAAAAGCTTCTGCACAGAAAAGGAAACAATCAACAAAATGAAAGGCAACCTATGAAATCAAAGAAAATATTGGCAAACCATACACTATCTGATAAAGGGCTAATATTTAAATTATATAAGGAACTTCTACAGATTAATAGAAAAAAATGTTAAGAAATGGGAAAAGGTACTGAATAGGCATTTCTCCAAAGAAGATATACAAATGGCCAGCAGGTATACAAATAGGCATTCAACATCACTAACCATCAGGGAAATGCAAATCAAAACCACAATGTAATATTATTTCACATATGATGGCTATTTTATATACATATATAGCAATATTGAATGTCAAGCAAGATAACAAATATTGGAGAAGGTGTGGGGAAAATAGAATCCTTGTACACTATTGGTGGGAAAGTAAATTGGTATATCTACTATGGAAAACAATATGGCAATTACTCAAAAACTAAAAATAGAACTATCATTTTATCCAGCCATCCAACTTCTGGACATTTGTCCAAAGGAATTGAAACCAGAATCTCAAAAAGATTTATGCATTCCCGAGTTCATGTCCTTTGCAGGAACGTGGATAAACCCGAAAACCATCATCCTTAGCAAACTAACACAGGAAGAGAAAACCAAACACTGCATGTTCTCACTCACAAGTGGGAGTTGAACAACGGGAACACATGGACACAGGGAGGGGAACATCACACACTAGGGCCTGTCCGGGGGTGGGAGGCAAGGGGAGGGAGAGCATTAGGACAAATACCTTATGTATGCGGGGCTCAAAACCTAGATGACAGGTTGATAGGTACAGCAAACCACTATGGCACATGTATACCTATGTAACAAACCTGCACGTTTTGTACCTGTATCCCAGAACTTAAAACTTAAAAAAAATTTATGCATTCCTATGTTCATTGCAACATTATTCATGAAGCTAAGACATATAAGCAATTTAAATGT